TTTTCATTCTTAGGAATGTCTAAATTCAGTTAAACTAGCAATTCCGTATTATATTTATAAATATTTATAACATTATACAAAAATTAGATTTTTCTTAAAAATTGAAATTTTGCCGGGAATGGGGCTTTAACATGGCTTCCAGAACACATGACAGAATTTAATGTGTATTCCGTTATCCAGCCGTTTTGCTAGGCTAATACAAAGACGTTTGTTTGTGTTAATATATTACATCACTCCCTTTTAAAAAAAAATTAAAGCTTAGTTGTACGAAAATGACAATTGTAAACTGTTAACTATTTTTGGTTATGAATATGGCATATGAAATTTTACTATAACGTAACTATAAGCAACTACTGTATTCTAATAAACAAATGAACTTACTGTATTAAACTACAGTATTTATAAATCTAACATAACTACACTGTATACTTATCTAGTCTAAGAAAATGAAACTCAGGATTATATCAAAACATCACAGTCTAACTTGTTATCATAACATTACTTCTTGTTATAATAATATCACTTTCATCATTACAAATAGTATACTGCAAGTACAGTACATGTATTATTCATGATCTGAATTATCGGTTTAGTACTTGAGGTATCTAGCATCTGTAGTGATTTCAATGCCTTTATTATTTTAAAATTAAAATGAATGTTTTAATTTTTAATTTAAAAATAATACAATCAGCGAGTCCCTCAATATTTATTTATTTATCATATTATACAGGATAACATATCAGGAAGGTTTAATAACCTGTTTTACATATGGTCCTGTTTTGTGATACAAAATAATAGTATAAACATTAACTAGATGCATATTATTAAACTTGAAAATAGACTTAATAATTACAAATTATTATGAATAAAAATCTTAATCTAAGACACATGACTTCATATGATTTTGATAAAATACATCGAAAAAGTTAAAATCACTACGTAAGTTAATAAAATGAAAGATAACAGCTATTTTCCAAAATTAAAATAGTACAATTATATATCGTAGTAAATATTAAAAAGATGAGTGAAATAGTAATGAACTATGTCATACAATTGATAAAACGAAATGCAAGTATTTTAAAAGCAGTATTTTAAGTTACATTATATTAATTATAAATTATATTTTTTGTAGTTCAATTTGATAATAGTAATAGTAATAGTAGTAGTAGTAGTAGTAGTAATAACAATAATAATAATAATAATAAAGACTGACGTTGGTCGCATTTTTTGTTACTGGGCTTTACTTAGGCCTTTTACAATCCGTAGAATATTACGCAAGGTGCTGGCATAATTATTTTCCTGGTCACTGGATACCGAGTTGGCACATTCTGTGCAACTTTCTCTGCCTTCTGTGGGATAGGCCTATCCCTAGTCATGCTGATCACGCACAGCCAACGTTCATGCCATACCCTCGTACCAGGTAGCCATTTATACTCCTGAATGGAGAGAGGCAAACGTAGGCGTAAATTCAGATTCAGAATAAAAACAACTAAATACTTTAACTTACTGTGAAACAGATGCCAAGTATACCCATAAATAATTTTACAGTTGCCATGTTAAAATCCATTGTTGTATGTTTTTAACGAAATCGGTGTACCTAACCAGTAAGTAAAAGCAAGGAGGTATACCTCCTTGGTAAAAGTTAATACTGTATTGAGAAATAGATCACAAGTAATGTGTTCACCGCTTTTTTATCTCCACCCATTTATTGAATGCATGAACGCACATTAGAACCAGAAAAGCACACATAAATCGACAATTTAGATTCACTAAGGAGTCACAACACATTTATCTACTTATCTACAGCCAATGAGCGAAGCGCGGTGTAGTGAATCTTTAAAGAGTAATCTAACGAACCGTGACTAACCATAGACAAAATAGAGTAAGGGCCCGTTTATGAACTTTCGAAAACCGGATAATTCAAGCCTGAGGTGATAATTAATCATTCCTCAACTAGCTTTAATTACTAAAACATCTGGACTTTCCGGGCTTATCCTTTCCGGATAAGTTTGGAGGGTTGGAAGCTGCCTCGGGCGCAATAGCCCACAGCATGGTGTCATCTGACCTTACTTTTATGAGAAATCTATTCAGATTAAGCACTTGAGTCCGCAATTTCTTTTCATCCATGCCTTCGTCCAGTGACATCGCTAGAGTAGTCCTCACTTAATAAATATTATCCAATTTTTAAGCCGAAATATTATTTTTACAACGATATACCCCTATATACAATGGCTGCAGCTGAACAGAGTGGGCGGACTGACGAAGCAACCCAAACGTTAATTAGCATATGGGAAACGACATCCATACAAGATGGTTTTGATGGAACCCGACGGAACAACGCCGTTTATAAAGCGCAAAAAAATACACCCAGGAAAAGGACTCCAACGGGAAGTCAGGAACACCCCCCCCCCACACCAACAGAATGGCCGTATTTTTAGATGATGAACGAAATTTTTGGCGATAGGCCCATTTCTTGTCCACCACACACTGTTGACACGTCGTTGTCTGCTCTGAACACCAGTGGAAGTAGTAGTACAGTAGTGTCTGTAGGCTATCTTTTTCCCTTTGTTTTTTTTTTTTTTTGTAGTTTTCCCAGTTGGCTAGGCTCTAGTTTCTAACGCTTGGGTTTTCTTTAGAATTGGTTGGAGTTCGAGCGTGGGCAAGGCGAGGTAATTCGTTGTTGAATTGCCTTGTTGTGCTGAGGAAGGCTAAGTGGTGAAGTGTTTGTTTTGTTGACATGAAAGGCCTATACCTTACTGTCCGTATCCGAATAACTTGGGGTTCGTAAACGAGCGATCTAATGACCTACCCTCTGGGCATTGAATGTAGGTAAGAATGGCCCCGGAAAAAATGGCCCCAGAAAAAATGGCCCCGGAAAAAATGGCCCCGGAAAAAATAAGACAGGTAGGTAAAAATGGCCCCAATGAAAAATTCGGTAATAGAAATGATATTTTTTTTTAATCTTCAAATATTTAAATACTGTATAAGCAAGAATTGAATCAAGAAATAAAAAATGGCCCTCAATTATAAAATTCAAGAAAAAAAAATTAATAATAAATAAATAAATGCTGTAAAATACCCTGTAGTGTAAATTTAATTAATAAATCGACATAAAGAATATACATATTTGAGAACTAAAATAAATTAGTTTTTAGCTCCAATGAATAGGTCTAAGTATTTTTAAAAATTATTAATATTATTAGATATCATTTCTATATTTGCGGTCAATTATTAATATTATTATTATTATTAATGGCTCTGATGGGAGGCTCTAAAACATTGATTCGGCACCAGTTTTGAACGACGAACTTCCAGGGAATGTTATAAACCATTTACGTGAAATTTGAAATAAAAATTTCCAATAACGTGGCGACTACCAACTATGGGAACTTTCATAGGCCTAGCATTTCGCAGTACGTATTACTGTCATGGATAACATCAACAATAAATCTAAATTGCTAACGAGCACAAACATTTTAAAACGGAAAAAACACGAAATGTTTATATTGAAAACAAGTCCAAGTATTAAATATCTATTTTTTTAAATAATTGGAAACTCTGGATGGCCAGAAATGACACTCTCAAGACTGTGACAGGCATGTCACATTTTTATTATTTATTCCGACGACCTGTCAAATTGGGGGGGGGGGTCCTGATGTGGTTTGGGATGTATGTAATTTTGTAATCTAATACACTGTGATTGCGTAATATGAAAAAAAAAATTTAGTTTATACAGAAATAGTATCTAAAATGATCTCAATTTCCAAAGTTAAAGCAAAAGATCTAATCTAAACACACAATATTAGGCAGGATGTATTTGTTTGGAAAAGACCCACTCTTTTGTGAAATTAAGAGGGTATCTTTGAATATTTTATCATTGAATTTTAATTCTTGCAAAAAGTAAAATGTAAATGGCAATTTGTTTGATGTTAGATTCCTTTTAATAACTAAATTATTTAAGATAAAAAAATGCATATATTGAATCAAGAAAATCAGTTTTAATACAGAATTTGATTATTGGGGCCATTTTTACCTACCTGTCATATGGGGCCATTTTTACCGGGGCCATTTTTTCCGGGGCTTTTATTTCCGGGGCCATTTTTTCCGGGGCCATTTTTTCCGGGGCCATTCTTACCGTACACCCTGGGCATTATGTCATTTTTGACTTATCCGGTTTCGTTGAAAGTTCGTAAACACAACCTAACATCGACTTTATTTAATCCAATTAAACAGTCAGCCAGCGCCTATTAAATTGCACTACGGCCGCCCGCGGAGCTTATCACAGCACTATCTCTTTATAAGTGTAAACCCCTATAGACGCTCTGGCGTTAGTGGAGTACTTAATACACAAACAATTAAACATTAGAAATACAAAACACATGCGCAGTTCATTATCCACGGTTTGTTTGTGTGCGTGTTTGGTGTATTTAATTAGAGTTTTTTTCGGCGAGAAAATACATACTTTAAATGTCAAAATCGGCTTAAAATAACTTTCTTTTATCAGTTGTATGTATTGGCTTATTTTTTATCGTAAGAACGAAAGTGATGTCAATAAATAATGTTTTTAAAGGGTCCCGGTTGTCATAGGTTAATAAAATTTAGTTCAGACGAAAGTAGAAAGCTGTATATTTCATCGATCATGTCCGGTCGAGATATTAAGATCATAATGTGGCCCCAAATCTGTTCGATCGGCCTCTGTGGCGCTCATGTGTAAGCCTAGGACTACGCTTAGTACTGTAGTCTCATTTGCAGTTACGTCCAGGTCTTCACTTTACTTACGATTGTCAAGTTTGGCCCTTAAAAACGAAAAAAATAATAATTTAAAAAACACTTCACTTTTTTAATTACTTTGTCCATGTATTCTTTTGTGTTTATTAATTATTAAATAACGAAAATATTTTTTGTTGTAGGCCTAGGCTTTATAGGCCTGGGCTAGCTATCTGCTGAGTCCTGCCCATGGTCCTACCTATCATTTTCATTTAAAAATAATTTTCTCCAGGCTAGGGGCCGACCGATTATTATAATTATATTTATTTAGCCTATACTGTAGCCTAGTCTTGTCCGTATCTACAGGCACACGTTTTTATTTATTGATTTTGCAACAGTTTTTCATGTTGGAAATAATGCTTTTTACTTCATTTTATAGAATCATGAACAACCACTCCATCTGAGGTCTTTCTGATGATGATGGCAAGAAACACCATTGACGAATTGTACCTTCGAAGAAAGAAGAAAGCCAGATCATGTGTGGCATGCCAATATTTTTCCAAACCAAACGGTTCTTTTCAGAACCACCAAATTACAAATGAGATTTGAAGTTGTCCTCTTTGCTTGTCATTATTCTAATTATTTGAAAATTAAAACAATTACCCTAACAGTATTAACTCACCATTCATCAACTCACTATCTGATCAAAAGTATGTACATTCATCACTTCACTCAAATTTCATCTGTGCATGATGCAGGATACATTTTAATCAACAAACAAATATTACTCTTACGTACCGTCTCACCTGAGTATTTATTGCCAAATTAAATTTCTACTATTTACACAAAGCCCGTCAATTTATGACAGCTCCTTTTTTGAAACTTTTCCACTTTCATTCTTTTAACATAAACTTTTTAAAAAGCATTGGTTTTTATCCAACATCTCCATGTCGTTCGCCAATAAAATAACACGCTTTGCATTATGTGACGGGTCAATGTTAATGCAATAGCCCTTCACCCCTCCAATAATAGCATCGTCTTGCCGGTCTATCAACACTTGAAAAATAAAGGTGCATCCCTGTGAAAATTTACTATTTACAGTATATCATATAGACTAGGAAAAAAATAAAAAAGAGGCCTAGAAATCAAGTAAGGGGGAGTGGAATGTTAGAAGCAGTCAACATAGCCAGATATCCTAATTAATCCCTCCTGGTCACCCTAAGCCCTGTTGACACTTGTTTTTCCACCTGGTATACAAATGGCGGCCATTTTGAAAAATGGTCGCCAAATTTATCTAAAATGTGCATATAATTGGAACTAAATAATCTACAGATATGATGTTGGTGTCTAAAATCATAATTTCTATACAGGCAACAAACCAGACATATACACACTACTGTCACTCATGCCAGAATGGAACATAATTCAAAAATAGGTGTTTATTTGTTTTAAAATATACTTAAAATGTGTATAAAATAAGAATAAGTATATAAACTCACCAAAAAGTAGTCGTGTTTGGTATCGTTGGAAAGCTCTTCCGATGCTGAATAATGTATTTCAGTTTATATATCAGAAACGGTGTAGTGTTTCATGTATTGTCCAATAAAGTCCAATTATTGCATATCATATTAAATAAACAAGACCCATTTGCGTAACTCGTGAGCTCTCGGATGGCGGGTGGGGTGGGGGGGGGGCGCTCCTACTACTATCTAAAACATTACTACCAAGCCTTAAGTAACGCATGTGCTTTCTGGGCGAAGTCCGAGTCCAAATGGGCCCTGGAGAGGGTTAGTTACTTTTACTTACAGTAACACTGATACTCAGCACTCTCCTACAAGGCCTTAACAATACGTAAAATTTTGTATAATTTCCGAAAAAACCAAATAGACCAAAATCCCACAAACACAATATTTGGCAGATTTATTAGAAGGGGTTCTTTAAACTATGCCCCTGGATGCCCCACTATGGAGGTTTTACCAGTTATGTA